ACTAGTAAATTATTTCATTTCAGACTTCCCCTCTGGGGAGGGATTGCTGCAAAGCTGCAGTAATGGAAATCTGAGATGTAGTTACTGGCCAAAGGCCAGCAGAGACATTGGTCACTTGGATGTGTTTCTTCCTTCCCAGCTGCAAAAGAGTTTCAGCAAGGGAGAACTAAATTAAATGTGCCATAATGATTGGAAAAAATGAAAACGTTACCACATTACAGCAAAACAAATAAGGCATGGATGTGCTTCTGAAGAGCTATTAAAATACAGCACTTCCACTGTCCTTGTTTCCCACCACTTACTGATATACAACTCAGAAGGGGACCCCTAATCCAGGGTGTACCCATAGCTGGCACTTCATGGTACTTTAGCTGAGAGAGGAGCAGTAAATATCCATGAGGAAAAAAAAAAAGGCATAAAATCTCACCTACTTTTCCCTGCAATTAATTGTGATGCAAATACTAATTTTCTTTTACTAATTCATCAAGAAAACCCTTGAATCTGAAAGTTATGAATGGATTTTAATGAAATTAAATTGCCTGACCATGGTGTAACTCTCTATTCCTTTTCTAACCTGCTCTTAAAGCAAAGAAAGAGCGAAAAAAACAATCCTTGTAATCAATGTCTGCAGAAATATTCACTTGTCCCATGTGCCTGGTGATGTTTTGTTAAAAAATCATACAATTCGGAGCCTTGAAGATGTAGAAAAATGCATTTTGAGCTTTTTCACAATTTTCATGGTATATCCAACTGTCTCTACATGTTATTAGCAGGTTTTTTCAGTGCATGCTATTAACCCAGTTGACATCTTTTTTGTATCTGATATATAAATCTGCACTTAGCAATACAGCAGAATAATTTTCTGTGCGGTGCTCCTGTGATAAGGATAAGAGGATTTTTTTTATCATCATTATAGATGGTAATAATTCCTAGAGTGATACAGAGATATCGATCCACTGATCTAAAAAAAGTGTTTTACAAAGGCAGAGAAGTGTTGCTACCCTTATTTTAAGGAACAGAATAACAGAGGCGATGAGAGACCAACTCACCTATGGTCAATACAGCACATCAGTGGCACAGCTACAAACCAAACTTGGATATTTCTGGCTATTTTTGCACACTCCAGCTATCACTGCATGGCTGTCTGTGTTGGCATCTGTGGTCATGTAGACATTACACAGCACTGGGAGTCAGGAGGTCTGAAAGTTTCCTTAAGCCGTTTACAATAAGTGATTTAAAATCTTAATCATCTGAGGCAGTTCACTTCTGCTTTTTCATGATAATGAAGCTTAGCACATGATATCACAATCATGAATTTTTGTAAAGCATACTTAGCTCTTCAGAGAAAGTGCTGGATTAAACAACCCTGCAGGCTGAATCCTTCCCTTTGAATAATGAATATCGTACGGCAGTGGCAAGCTTCTTTAGATAGTCCCACAAACCCTGCTAAAGCAAGGGCCAGCCTCCATGGCTGCTGGGTTTCTTTATCTCTACAGCCAACAGGGTATTTCTATTTTTTAATACCTTCCACAGCTAGGAATTACTCTCTGCCAGCCAACTAATTTCACAGGGACTATCCCAAAGCCTTCAGAAAGCAAAGCCTTTTGGTTGCTGCCTATTCTTGAAGCTGATCAAAATATAACAAGTTACAGGTATAAACAATGGTTATTTCTTAGATATAGGAGTGTATAATAATGGGGAAAAATATGACTCGGGGAAAAATATGACTCAGGGAAAAAAATCTCAGTGTCTTTAAAATGCACTGCTCTACCACTGGAGCTCTGTATCATTACTTTAGTCTCATTTTACAGCTGAGTTTCAAACAGCTGACAATAGGAATTTGGAGTTGAAATGCTGATGGTCCATTATCACTAGTGACAGCAGTGGGTGCGACTTTAATAAAGTTCTGTCAACTCTTGGCTAGAAACTACAATAGAAACAACTAGTTCCATCTCTCTCCCTCTCTCCCTTTATCTTAGCACTTATATCACACTCATCACAAAGTGTTACATTTTCTCTTGATGCCACAGGACAGGATTTCTCCTTGCTACTGGAGCCACGTAGTAAACTAAAACCCTACATCTTGCCTATGAGCTGAGAGCAGACTGTTACTCTACCAGCAGTGAGGCTGATGTTGTAGTGCAGACATTGTCTAAAAGTCAAATGAAACCTTTATAGTTTTTACTAAGTAAAAAACCCCCAAACAAACAACCCAGCCCAAACCAAACTGCTCTACTGAGCAGTGTAACCTGGAGCTATTCCTTGCAACTATCTGCTGGTAATGCAGATTATTTGCCTGAACTCTTTAACAAAGCTCAAAAGCTGGCACAAATACCAAGAAGATACTTTTCAAGCTCTTTTCATCCAGAGATCCATTGATGTGCACTTGTTATGCAATTGAAAAGAGATGCCAAATGGAGTTTACTGGACCACATTTCCATCTCACTGCTGTGAGAACTGAGTCTCCAAAGGCTTTGGCATGGCAGGGTCAGTGTTTCCCTAAGATAGTGACTATTTTTCATTCACCTCTCTGAGTCTAGGAGGGAAGCACATCCAGACCGGTGCTGGGAAAACAAATACTGTTTGTGGCAAAGGGAATTAACATCTTGGAAATGGAAACATGAATTAAAACTCATTAAGGACTGGAACTCTTTACAAAGATTTAACTTTATAAATTCTCCCTCTTGCTTTAGTGAAGCAGTTTTTCACCTTGTAGTTTTTCAGTCAAGCTCCCTCCTCTGCAGATCTCCCTCAGCACTTTTCATTTCAACTGCGATACCAACCATTTTCCCAACACTTTGCCTTTGCTCATGGAGTGGTGGTTTCGTGAAGCTGATAAAAATCTGCCTGAAAACCTGGTTGGCGCAGCTGAACTCATTTTCAAGTGTGAACATGGGTGTGTAGAAAGCAATTCGAGTTTAACAAGGCATGATGCATGAGGGCATGATAGAATATCAGTCGTGATTGTGACCGAAATGAACCCGAGTGGCAGAGAGGATACAGCTCTGCTACGACTACTGGTGTGTGACCTACCTGCACTGAGATCTTCAGTCTCCAGCAGCACATTAACTCTACAGATGTGCTGGCCAGCCCAGGACACTGCCCTGCACAGCCTAGGAATCTCAGCTTCTCATTGTTGTGAGATTGCTATTCATTGCAGAACAAAACTACCCCACCAACCTCACTTACTCTGTTGGATTTCATAATTAGCTTTTCTATGCTCCTGCTATACTCAAAGAGTGTTGAATAAAAGCAAGTGTGCAGTGGGATTTTTGTGGATCCCAGGAAAGATCTATTTCTTTGTTGGGTGATGCTGACAAGTCAATTAAATCTTTTTTGGGGCTCAAAACATCTGATGCACAGATCTTGTTATTTCAGCAGTTAATTAGCTCCTTTCCCACTTGTGTCTTCCATCACCCCTTCCCTGTGCTACTTACACAATGAAATCAGTGAAAATCAGAAATACTTATTTTGCCACAATGTTGAGTTTAGAAAGATAATGGCTTCACTCGACTCCATCAGTAAACATTCCTTACTGAGCTGCAAGAACCAACCTCAGACCTCTCCCCTAATCTTCCCCAAGGCAAAAGCCAGCATTGCAAGGCTCTGCTTGCCTGAAGGGACTGCTGCATCCCAGCCCCAAAAGTCTGGGGATCACAAAGCATAAATGTAAGTGCATAATTTTCTTGGGACTCTCTATTTATTGCCAGAGTGTCATTGCAACAAGTCCTTATTATTCAGAAGTAGTACACTAAGTGCTTTCAAACAATGTCATGAAATATACGAACACCTGCACTTCCCTTGCTGAAATTTGTAGGTATTTTAAAAGAATTGGGCAAAAAAACCAAACCAAACCAAAACAACCCATGCACAAATACTGTGGATCCTATAGCCTACTGGAAACACGTAAATCCAAAAGCAAAGAAAGAATTCCAAATCTATATCCATGTCTATATGCAAAATGGATGCTATTATTTTTTTCTGTGCCTTTTGAAAATGTAATAAAATGCATAAACTGTGCTTTCTATTTTTTTTCTATAGAAGTGATGTTTTTCACAGCTCCACACTTAAAATTACTTTATGCCCTGTACCATTAAATGGCTGTGGCAGGTACCACAGCATCCTTCTGCACTGACAGATGGGACTATCCCTATTTTCTTTTCCACTCAGCAACCCTGGCACTGACATTTTGACAAGGTTTATGCTCTGAGAATAAATTCAGGTCCATATACCGTGGAGTTAATATGCACTCTGGGTCATCAATATAAGTTTATTTTTCTTTTCAGTATGTTTTCAGAAGGCCTTTCCCCAAAAGGCACTTTTGCACTCAAAAGGGATCACTGGCTATTAAAGTCTGTGCTGCATTTCATTTCCAAGTTCAGGTCGTCCACTTGACCACTCTTGATGGTGCTGCTTAACACCTCTCCCCTGGTTTTTGAGTTGTGGTAGAGGCACAAGATTTGAAATCTCTTTTTACAAACTTTTGTTCAGGCAAAGCTCTCAGGTTCAAGCTAACCTCTTTGTTTCTCAGTTACAGCAGACCTATGTTTTGCATATAGTTACAGAAAACACAGGAATGGAGGAGATAGTGCTACAACGTGGGCCAGTTCCCATGACCTTTAAGCGGTCATTTACAGTCCTGCCTTTTTTTTCTTTTTATTTTGGCCTTGTGCTACAAAGCAGAAATAGGGTCAGGGAAGCAACTTTGATTTTGCGAGAGCAGAAAACTGAGGATGTTTTCTCAGGGTGCAAAGGAACCTTTCCAGCTGACAAACAGGGTGATAACACAAGTTAATACGTTGGCACCAAGACCTTTCTGACACTGGAAATAAAAGGTGATAATTTCAGTCACAGTGAAAAGTTCATGTGGATAACTTCATCACGTGGGATGTATTACAGCATAACCTCTCGCTGCAGACAGCGGCTCTGCCTACCTTGGCTGTGACATATAGCTCCCAATTAGCACTTAAGGAAAGAGACTTTACAGGCTGCACACTCACCTCTGCTCAGCCCATCCGGTCCCCGAAGGATTCGGCATTCTTCTATCTGGCCGAACGGAGAAAACATCACCCTGATATCATTCTCATTACACTTCTTCGAAACCATTCCTATGAACAATTTTCTGTCTTCCACAGCTAGAAGATAAAAATAATGAATGAGCAAAGGCCATTTCATCTTTTTCCTGTGATCAATGCTTCATTACCACATCAAACCAAGCTCCAGTCATGTGAGTCTGGCTCTGTAACTGAAGACAAGTCCTAAGGCAAACACTTTATACTTACAATCTCCCTTCCCCCCTTCCACCCCCACCCCAAATATCTCGTTTTTCTTTCTCTCTCTCCTTTTTCTAGTGGTGCTTGCTGTTTATATAACATATTAATTGGCTGTCTTAGTCATTCTGCATACGCCTCCCCATAACGGCTTCTAAAAGCATCCTCTGTTAGAGGGACTTTTAAAGATATCTTTGCATAGATTCTAATTCAGATAAATTCCCTCACCCCCCTCATGTGTGAAAGAAATCATGATGGGGTGAGGGTGAACAAGGGATTTTGCGCGTAATGATACGAGCTAATGAAAAATATTCCTGACAAATGTTTTGAGAGAGCAGCTCCTATCGGAGCTTTCAATTTCTGCCAACTTAATGCACAGCACTGGAAAGGCAGATGTGCACTGGCTGCTCTGGAAAAAGAATGCATTAAATTTTTCTGCTGTTTTTCTTTCAGACTGCCGCAGCCCTCTCCCCTTTAGGAGGACACAAAGCATATTCTGGGACATCACTTGAAGACCCTCAGATTGATAAGGATGCTGAGTTTGCAAAAAATACCCATGAAAAAGGTGCTTTACCTGAAGTATTGGCAGATTATTTCCTGCCTGCACTGTCACCAAAACCAGCACAAGCTGGACTGCTGCAGCAGGACGCACACAGTCCTGTTAATCAAATTCAAATTTACAGGTCTAAAGCTGGGGACTCTTGTCAAAAATGAAAGAGGTCATCAAAACTTAATTCACTCTGGAAAGACTTAAAAATGTTAACGCACCCACCCATCTATATTAAACCAAAAATCTAAAGTGCTTATTATACAGTGCATACACCAGTGCTTTCTTCTTCTCTGGAAATGGCATGTAAATCCAATTCCCTGTTAATGAGCAGACTGTCAGGGTTTGTGGGGAAGCAAAGAGAGAAGGAAAGCTTTTCTCCAGAGAGTCTGCACTGCACTTACTTATTTCTATTATTGTGCAAATTATTTTTGTAACGAAGTATTTTCATTTCTGGGCTTACAAAAAAAAATAATGAATCCTCCCTTGCTCTCCAACTCTGTCTCCTGTATTAGTATGAGTTTGTCAAATGGAATAAATTGCAGCTGAAGAAGAAGGAACTGCGTCCATTTTTTCTAGGATTTTATTTGTGTTATACTTCAACACTTTCAGTGCATTTAATAATTTCAAGAATAACAAGAAGAGGTTCATGTTTATTGATCAAGAGAAGTGTTTGAAGTAATTTTCTCCTTAAATTGCTGACTTTAAAAAGTATTTGTACCTTTTATGCAAGCAAGCACCAAAACTGTGCATTTTTCAGAATCCAAAACAGAGACCAGCCCCTGCAACCCCAGTTTCTCACTCTAAAAGCTTGCAAGAAAATTGGCGTGAATTTAATACCCAGGGGAAGACGTTTTCCTCAGCAGAGATTCCTCAAGACTGAACATTTTCATTCACACTTTATATTGAGGTTCCACATGCAGGTGAACCCTCCAGAAAGGGTTAAAAAATGATGAATGCATGGGATGAGCCAGTTATGTACAGATCAGGAGCTGAATATGCGTGATTGCAAATAAGACCAACAAGTTGGGATATTTTTATATGTATATATTTATGTCCTATTATGAAACTTTACATCTGATTCATAATACATAACTGACCTTGATGCTGCTAATAATTATTTTAAGGATGGGAAAACTGAATTGCCTTGCTCACAGCTACACGAGGAGTCTATGCAGCCACTTCTGCTGGTGAAAGGATGCCTGTAACTTGGCTTTTTACAATTCCTATACTGCATGGAGCAATCTTTTTGAGGAAGTCCCCTGACCAGCCTGTCCCCTCAACAACAGCCAAAGACTATGGGCAGGGTGCAGGAGAGGTTTTGAGACACAGGACCCAGCTGGGCTGCCAGGACTGGGATTCTCCACACCAGAGACCGAGGTCAGACTGGAGGAAGCCTTGGCACCAAGCACAGGTCCGAGCATTGCCTTCTGCTCTGTGTTATGAACATCTTAATTTCTGTCTGTGTGTCAGCTAGTACCAGCTAGTTTAAATTGGGTTGATTTTAGGCTTGAAATACAGTGTGCAGGTCTACCCTAAGGGTGACCAGGTTCCAACCCTCTTTTAAAAACAGCTGCTGGCTAAGTTGAACAAATGCCTACTTCGGCATCCCAAAGGAGGTCCCTTGGGTCCTGCTTTGGTGCCAGGACAAAGATTCAAACCAAAGAGATTCACATGGAGATCCAAAAGAAATGAGATGCAAACAGAAAGCTTTAATTTTCCAAAGAGTAGCAGGCAACAAACTCCCCACCGGCCTCCTTTGGTTTCACTGGTAAACCTATAAATATGCCATTTAACTAACATGATTTGCTGGTTTGCTGCTTGAGGGTGATTTTATAGTAAATTAAACATCCAGCTCCTGTGTACTGTACATCTTAAAAATGCAGATTTCATAAGAATGCTCAGAGTACAGAAAACATATTGATATGATGACGTGCTCTGCATTCAGTGCCATTAGTCAGTGCTGATCAGTGTTGAAGCTTAAGAAAATTGCTATTCTTTTTTTGGCTAGGGGCCCAGCATAAAAAACATTTAAAGTGACAATTGTCAAGATCATAATTACATGTTTTCACTCCATCTGATAGAACATCTGATATTATTAGGCTGAAAGAGTTTTTAACGATATATTCTCACACAGAGAAAGGAATGCTTTTCCACCTCGATAAGACTGACTGCCAGGATCTGTTTCTGCATTTTTGGTCAGCCACTTCTTTCTTTCTGAAATGAATTCTTACCTGTCAGACAGGCAAGGTTTGAGAATCAAATAGACAATGGGCTGCAAGAAGTGTGGGTCAAGAGGGGTTAGAGGTTAGCAAACTTTGGATGTGGGAAGCCTGAGCATTTTCCTGTGTGTGTCGGCTTGCTCCCATGGACTGTAAAATGAGGACCCCAACATTAAACACATGTGACCCAGCAAAGTGTTGAGGTCGGGACAGGTGCTACCTGCTGCTAGCTGGGGAAAGGATGGCACTCTAAACGTGTCTCACCTAATTACAGCCAAGAGATCAGCTCATCCAAAGAGTGACTGATCTCACCTCTCCCAGCAATATGGGGTGGGCTGTGCCATGGGAGTCTCTCCCCTGCTACTGACAGTAGATAGGGCTGTTACCTTCCAGCCAACCCCCAAATCTTGGTCATCCTGATAACACCAGATGTCCTGAGCTCCAGCTGCAGGGACAGGAGGAATAAATGAGCTTTGAGGGACTGGACAAAGCTTGGGAGCTGCAAGTGCTTTGGGCAATGAGAGCAGATAAGAGGAACGCTGGGAGGGAAGGATAACAACGCACAAGGGTCAGCACCTGTGTGCACATATCTCTTAAGCATTTCACTGCTGCTTGTTAACTCTCTCTCCCACATTTGGGGTAGGTTTCAATAATTCAAAATCCATAAAAATCAATTTTTTTTTGGCGAGTGTTTGACACCATTATTTCTGAACCTTGCTCATAGGCTTATTTGAACTTTCTGACTATTTTGCACTGCTGTGTGGGAAGGAAGTAGATACAATCATTTGGAAGCAGCTGGTAGGATGGAGTGGCTGAGTACCCCTCCTTGATGGAGCAGAAGCAGCCAGAAGGCCACAGTAAACAAGACCTGAAGTTCTAGTTACAGGAAGGAAGGTGTGAAACTACACAGCATCTTGATTAACACATTATGGGGTTCACCTTTAATCCATCCCAACATATTACAGACACAGGTTAGCTGTGCTGCCAGGGCAGTTGGAGTGACACATCCAGTGCTAAGCCTGCTGGATTTGGGGTGGGGTTTCCCAGAATGCAAGGAACCCTGTGTGACGAGGTGCAGATACCCGTTTTAAAATGAGACGAGTTGCTCTCATAACTCCATCAAAACTCGCTCTGCCATCACTAGCACGGGTGCCTGGGCACCGTGTTTGAGCCCAGAACACTGCATTAGCCATCCAAGGTTATATGAGATGAAGTCTCTCTCTGCTGGGGGCGGATTTTTTCAAACCGAGCCTCCTGTCTTCTGACAGCACTGCATCCAACGTGCAGAATAACATCCTGAAGGGCCTAATTTTTTAGCTTTACTCAATTTGCTTCGGTAATGAGCATTTCTTGCAGGCTGTATTAGATCGCTTGTGCTAACCCAGGAGAACAGAGCAGTAGAGATTATTTTCTGAATGCTGCAAAAGAATTAAACCCTGTAATAATCATGGGAAATCTCCCTGAAGATTCGACAAACATTTCTCTCTTCTAAACCCCCAAAATTCTGAAAAATCAAAATTATAACCCTCTATTATGCATTTCTGAGGAGTCCAGTCAGATAATGAGGACATTTCCTCCCCTCCCAGAAGTTGTCTTCTCTTTCGAGCTAATCAATAAACAGGTAATTACGTATAAATGGTGGGTTTTGTGTTTTTTTTTGGTTTCTTTTCCCAGACAGAAGGGAAGAGGAGAAACCAGACTTTTTATTCCTATCTGTAAGCCTGTGAAAACCCCTTGCATACAATCTGTCAAAATCACACCTGGATCTGGAGCTGCCTGCATTAATTATCAACTTTTCTATGTGTTAGTGCTAACATATGGCATTTAATTACTCCCTCCAAATTGGCAAAATTGTGCCACTTAGATTTTCAAAATTATTTTTTAACTTTTCACTAATAAAATAAATAAAAATAAATTATAAGATTTCTCAGCTACCCTCCTCCCTCCTTTTTTAATTTTTTTAAACAGGGAATTTAGTCATTTTCCCTGAAGCAGTGATACTTTGATCCACTTCGGAGCATACTGTCCGTGGGATATGTGCCTGAAAGTACTGACTGTGTTCAAATCCAGATCCAAGACACATTTAAATATTTGCCAAATTGTAGCATGTTAATGGTCACAGACAACTCAGAGTCAAGCAGGTGTTCATGTGTTCTTTGGCATTAGAGTGCAGGAACCTCCTTTGTTTGAAAAAAGGGAAATACCCTTAAAAGGATAAATACTGTGAGTGATTAACAGTTGAGATTAATCTAGTAATGGTGGAGCCTTCAAAGTCAAACCCACGCTTTTCTGGAAGATAATCCTTAAACAAAACTTTGTAGATAGGTTAAAACAACCACTTAGCACAGAGGTGGTCAGACTAGACCTACTGAGTGATCAGACCAGGACACACTACAAAATTCATCATCTGAAAATCTTTTAGAGGTGTTACATTTCTCAACAATAAGAAGCTTTTCAGAATACTCCTGAGTAGACAAATTAATTTGATCTTAAGGCAAGTCTTGCCCAATCAACTCTAGCTGCTAAAAGCTTGTTTGAAGAAATTAAGCTTTGCTTCATCTGCACGAGCAGAGAAATGACTCAGACACATTGTACGCAGGGAAGGAATCACTGGGACAGGTATCCCAGAGAAGATGTGGATGCCCCATCCCTGGAAGTGTTCAAGGCCAGGTTGGATGGGGCTCTGAGCAACCTGGTCTAGGTTAGTAACATGTGGGCAGGAAGCGTCTCTTCTATACCCATCTCCCAGTTTCCATGAGGTGAGCTCGGTCCTTGGTGCTAAGGGGCAGTGATGCACATATCTAAGGACAGGAAGGGTGATGGAGAAGGAGGGGCATTTCATCCTGGTATTCTTTGGCTTGGATGCTCATTCAAACCTTTTTAGCAAGGGACTCAATATAGGGAGGGGACATATCACACAGGAAATACTGTTCTTTGGAAACCTCTGTAAGTTGAATGAGAGGACCTATTCCTCCTCCCTGTGGAACTTGAACAGGTCTATCAATCCTTCACAAACATATACAAGCTCAGAAGAATTGTAGTGAGTGTTTAACTTCTCCTGCATATCTGTTTACAAGATATCTGGAAATTTTGACCAAGAGAATTTTATTAACCTCTTCGAAAATGGAGTAACACCACTTTACCTACAAAATGTACTGGGATCCTCCCATGACTCAGAAATCAAAGGGTTTCAAGTATTCCTCAAAAGCTCAAACAACACAGATCATGAAAACCAAGATGCCTTGGCATGTCTTCTTTCTTTTCCCCTTTGAACTTACCAATCTGGTTGAAGAGGTACAGTTTACAATTTGCTGTTGGCATGGATAATATACCTCCTCAGATTAGCCTGAGGCATATGGAAAACACGTGCCAAACAAGCCTCTACATCCCCCATGCTGCTGTTCTTTATCTTTCTGGATCTCCAAGCTGCTTGCAAACTGTCACCCACTCCATGGACCCCACGCCTACACCCTGTCTTTCTGAGGAGCAGAAATACTGCATCACTGCAGTATTAGCTTGCCTTCTGTTTCTCCAGTCAATTAAAAAAAAAACAGTTCACTACCCCTAGAACATGCCTATCAGAAGTTCCTACACCCTCTAGGAGTCTAAATTTAAAAAGGTTTTTAATTTGACAATTGGAAGCTCTGATCTGACAATTTGTTTTCCCCAAAATACAAAAAAGGCAAGAAAAAAAAAAGCGAAAAAAGACAATCCCTCATGATTTTCATGCTTGGAGTAGGTGCCAGAAAATAAGAGAGTATTCCCACAGTGCAGACAGGAGTTTCATGCAGATAACCCTGGACTAACAGCAGCAGCCAGGAGCTAATGTACCCTGCTTTTCAAGCAGGTGCTACTTGCAGAGTAAGACAGAATTTGCACAATTCCCTATACTGTTTTGCCAATATGTTCAATCTCCTTTAGAAAGAAACACTTCAGACAATGAACAAGTAACTCACTGGGAGTCAATTTTGGCCCACTGCCTCTTATTTTTCCAATTTACCTAGGAAATTGAGGTGAAATTTGTCTTTGAAAGAAGAACTCATAGAGGCCACACTTAGTTCAGAGGGTTCAGGCCAGTGTTCCTATGCCTAAGGGATAATTCTGCCCACTTCTAGCACTAAATACCATGGACTGGAGTTTGGATTCAAACAGCAACGTTCTCCTGGACTGCAGTGGGCCTTGAAATGTTTGGTCCTTCTGCCCATGCTGGTGCTGTGGCTTCTATTCTGAGCATTAGAAGACAGCAAGAAATCACTGCTAAAACCTATTAGGAAAAAGTTCTTCACCCAGAGGGTGGGGGTGTGCATTGGATCAGGCTCCCCAGGGAAGTGGTCATGGCACCAAGCCCATCAAAGCTCAGTGAGCATTTGAACAACACTCTCGGGCACGTGGTGTAATTTTTGGGACTGTCCCTGTACAGGGCCAGAAGTCAGATTTTGATGATCCTGATTCTAACCTGAGAGAGAGAACACCCCTCCTTTACAAATGGGTGACAGCTCATATTTCCTGTGCTCGTGGCCACTTTTGTTTGGAAAGTTGTTATAATGGGAAACCTAGCATAATGTGAAGTTTTAATTTCCTTCCAAACTTCCTAATCCTTGGAGGAGCCCGAAAAAGGGTTGCACTACAATTAGCAAAAAAAGAAGCCTTAAAAAAAGCCTTGCAGAGAGATTTAGAGCCCAATCATAATTTACATTTGCAGGTATGTAGATCTCTAAGTGCACGGCTTCTGCCCTGATTACTAATTAATGAGGTGCAAAGATGCCTGTTGGAGGAACCAGCTCTGATTATGTGGGCCTTATGGGAAAATGAAGCTCTTGCAATCTAAGAAGGCAGATGATATCTTTAACATATATTTTAGAAAATTACAGGAACAAATCAAGGGGCAAAATATACACATGTATATATTTTTAAAGAATCACACCCAGCCAGGTTGCGCTACCATTCGATTATCTTATTTCCTTGAATATATAAACCTGGCATGTTTAATAGATTTAGAATGCTGTCTGTTTTGCATGTCATATACATCCACTTAGGCAGTACCCTGGTATTCCAAATGGATATTACTGTCTTTATAGCATTCATTTTTCAATCGTTGAGAGGAATAAGTATACAGAGAGCTGCAAAGTGGGTTTCCCAGTTCATAATGAAGCATATGATTAAAACCTAAATTCGGCTCAGATTCAGAACAGCATCATTCTATAAAAAGGTAGTTTAGGCAAATGTTTAAGGCTGATCATCTGCTTACACAGTTTGTTAATGCAGGAGTGTTTTTTTGTTTCCTTTATTTTTAAATTTCACCATTAAAATTTCATCTCCATCTTATCAATATCAGGTGCTCCCACGTCACCTTGCTGTTAGGAGAAACCAAGGGAGAGATGTATGCAGTGAGGTGGGTTGTGACATACAGGAGGTACAAGGAAGACCCTTTTTGAGAACATTTCCTTCCTTCTTTAAAGCACAAGATAAAAGGGAGTTCAGAGCAGCTCAATACCTTCCCCAACACATCAGGTGGAGGGAAACTACCTCATATAATTTTCACCACACAAGGACTAAAGCAAAACCTCTCACAATGTTGTGCTTGCTTTAGTTTAGAGAGAGTCACAATTAAGTAAAAATAAATTAAACACGTACCATTTGACTTTTCACTATCTGCGGGTTTCATCTGAATAGGATGATGCATCTAAAAACAAAAATGAAAGAGAGTAAGGCAGGTTGGATAGTAATAAAAAATCAAGAATCATGTTTAATTATATAAATTCAAAATAACACTGTATTATAGGCTTTTAAGAAAAAATAAAATGGTAAAGGAACATTTTATAACCAGGAAGATTAAAAAAAAAATAGATCACTGGGCCCACAGGACTCCTATAAATCTTTAATTTGCTGTATCTAGTTTCAGAAGACCTCTAAAGTTACAGCCCTCATTAGTTTATGGCATGACTGGTTTCTGTTTTACCAACTTTTTTTTCCTCGAGCTCAACCACTGCCAAAACCAAGATGGAATTTTCAAGTAATTTAAGAACTAGCAAGCATTTAAAACATACTCAGAGGACTTGAGTTTGACAAATGAACTTTGCTTGTAATTAAAAAAAGCATGCTGATTCTTTCAGGACTGAAGAGGAAGAGAATCTTGCTTCTTACAATAGCTTCCTATAACTGTTCAGTATTTTATCTTTTCGTTTTAGGATACATTATACATTCATTCATAAAGCTTCCACTACAACATGGAACAATTCTGGCTTCCATAAAAACTCCTAATCCTTTTTCCTTTTCAACCTCTTCCTCCATTCATGTCCCTCTTACTGCAAAGGAAACCTACCCCCATGTGCAGCGTTCCGTGCTGAACATCTCACGGCATCCTAATGGTGTGTCCTCAGCTTTCTCTACTAAATGATGCTGCTCCCACACTGAATTGTTGATAACTCCAACAAAATTTTTACAAATGGTGCTTTTGTTCTTTCAGGAATAGCAACACCACAACAGTTGAGCTCCCTCTGATCAGAGTGTGTGGCTTTTCTGTGGACATTGGTTATAGCCAGCCATGTGGCCACTGTGGTGTACTCAGGGAAATTTTGTTACAGGTTCTCAAAAGCCTTCAGAACTGACCTCACATTGATATTCAATGTGGGAAATTTTTAAGCTTGCAAAAACCCTCACTTTTATTTTCTTTCATAGGCTCTGCATAGTTGCTGGGATTTGACTGCACAAACCTTCCGGCAGCAGCAGGGCCACTGCTTTTTCTCTCCTCAGCAATTCCTTACTGATTCACGTGAGCAGATAAATAAATGTATGCTCTATCTGCTTTTGTATCATTTTTCAGCACAGCAGAGCTGAGTATTGCCTGAAAATGTCAGAGGCAATTCCATTTTTTTAATAAAAGACTATTATGACAAACTTTGGGAAACAAAAACAGCTGAGCAGGAGAGAACATCCATGCCCTCATATCAAATGTGCTTTCAAAGCAGCACAGAAACCCAAATCTGTATTGCTTTTGGTGGAGCCACTTAGCCTCCAGGGAAAAAGATGCTGGATTCTTTAGAAAATATAAAATATAGCTGTGAATGTTTCTGTAAGATTTACTCAAAGTCCAGAATGCTCCCTGGCCCTGCAAATCAATGCGTTGCCTGTGCTGCTTGCAAACTCCCCACTGTGCCCTAAGGAAAAGGCAAAGCCACAAGGTAGATGTAGTCGCCAGGATGCATAAATTTGCTTCAATTTTAACAATTCTGTTCTCTTTGAATCATTCATTTCCTAAATGGACCTTAATAGCCCAGCACTTTTCTGCCACTCTTATTCGATCAAATTTATAGGAAAAAGGGAACTTCTATCGTACTCTGTCTTTAGTGCTTAATATTTATCCTGAAATCAACAATACATTGGGCACTGCAGGAGACTTAAAATTCATGGGAATGTGATGCAGCATGTCTACTCAGCAATCAAAAAGAGAAAGAAGAAAAAAGGTGTAACTTGCTCCATGAGCCTGCTGAAGGTTACTGATGTCTCTGAGGAGCAATGGAGTGGTAAAAAAATAGAGGAAAGAAAGGTAAGTACTGTAAATTCAGGAATATGCAGATTATAACAGAAACCCAAATTCAGGCCTTTTGTAGACAGAGAATCTATCGCTCTTTATAGTTGCATTTATATACTCCAAAGAGGAGATATTTTGAATAAAGGCAATTCTAACAATGTTAAAAACCTCTCACTTCTGAACTTCTCAAACTGCCTGAACTACAGAAGCCAACTTTAGACTGAATTCATGTGAAGAAGTTGTTTTTGCAGCCCATGGTCACAACACAAAGATCAGTGTCACCCAACAAACACATTTATTGCACCCGATATTGTCCTCTTCTGTTACACATAATTACCCCAAGTTCATTAAGTCAGTAATCTGGTACATTCACGAAGCAAGAGGCAAGATTTAACAGGATGCTTCAGCTGGTTTTCTACTTGATTTCAAAGGTTCCTGCTGAAAAGTCATGGTCCAAACTCCCTTCACACCAGCAAGTTGAATTCGGGAGCGATGCTGTTGTGCTTAAAATTATATAGGTGCAAAACCAACACAAGATCCAGCTCAGGCCTGGAGAGTTTAAACTACAGAACATCCTGGAAAAAATGGATGCGATACACAAACCTGGCTTCAGCGGAAGAGGAAGGTGGAAAAATACCTTCCTGACAGTTTCCTAACATGAGAGGGCTCATGTTGAAGCTTGTTTAACCCTGACCATCACCAATTGATACGTTAACAACCTTTAACACTAGATTCAATAAAACATGCCATTTATAACCTGAAATGGGTTTTACAGAGTCACTGGTTCGCATCTCATTATTAAACTCATTGCTGACCTCTAGAGACAACTGCCGTGACAATACATATTATAAGCTCTCTACCCATAAAATATTTAAAGGTAGGTGTAAAAAAGAAAGGAAAAGAAAAGAAAAGAATGACTCTCAAAGAAGTGTGCAGTGAATAAGAAAATTAAAGGGGCAGAGACAAAAGCTAAATAGGTACTATCCTTTCACTCTACAATGAGCAAAAGAGAAAATAATCTGAGCGTTTTATATCTTCCTTGTATAACTGCAGGCTATAAAAATAATAAAATAGCTGCGCTTTCCCAGGCCCTCCAAAAGATTATAGATGATATAAACCTGTTTCAAATTAGATGCCACTCACTAGAATCATGTCATCTACTGAAATGAAGGATTTCATGTCTTATCAGAAACCTGTTATTGCAGCTATACATCACTTATGATCTCAAGGTAAGTGCTTTCTCAGTATGTCATGCTGTCACGCAGAACAACAGGAAGCATTTTCTTCTTTACTTGAAAAAATCTTTGTTTAAGAAAGCACAGTATTTATAAATGCACAGTTGCAATTAACAAATAGGCAAGAGTAAGAAAAATAACCGCAGCAAATAATTTATAGACTTGAACACCACCCTGCACTCAGACCATACAGTAAAAAGAGAGCAACACAGCTCTCAGGCAAGTTCTTTCTGAGCGTTGGCAGCTTCCCCTGGCAAGCACTGTGCATGGGGATATCACACCCAGGCTGGAGTACGGGCTGTAAGGAACAACCTCTCCTTGTCAATATTATAGAGAGCTCACAGCTGTGCAGCAAGTACAGCACATCCTACCTTTCCTACAGGCACTCTCTGTTCATAGGTCTTAAAACACACCATGCCACTGTTTTACAACTGAGAGCAGGCAAATGCCTGTTGCCCAAGGTTGCTGGTGCCTTGTGGCAGTGCTGGCAGCAAAAAGGGGGCTTCATTACTCTAACAGAGCCCACCTGAAGCCAGAGGCCAAGCACATCACCACGTCTCCTTGGGCACATCCCAAGCAGGGGTGCTGATGGTCCACAGGAATCAAAAAGGCAAAGAAAAATGTCAAACATTAAATCCTGAAAATCCCCCTAAAATCAATGAGAATCTGGCTGCTGGCAATGTCCAGGGCACCAGCAGGACCACGCCTGGCCTAGAATTACAATTGAATAGTTAACTCTTTTTTTTTCCCCTCTTTTTCCTGAGTACATCCCACTGTATGTAACTTCATCAGATAAAAAACCACAGAAGAACAACCCAAAACTTCTCAAGGCACACACCCTCTCCAGTTTTAGAGCCTCAAACTCATCTTTTCAACCACAATAATGCTTCCTATTTACATTCTTGTCAAAGCCATGTGACATCTGCATGGGAGAAAAACAAGCCGGCTAAGAGTCTATTTCTGGCAAAAATATTGCAAGGAAATTAGATTAACCTGGGTGGAATTCTGTCTGGGAATTTGGAGTCTGTCGTGGTGATTAAGTCATCATTTCTGTCAGATTACTCTAATCGGCTGTCAAATACGATTCCACAACCCCATCTGTAACTTGGCATCCTTGTTATTCAGTCGATGTTACCTTCTGTATACAAAACAAACACCAAACAAGGAGGTGTGTGCAGTCTAGCATTTAGCAGAGTCATTAGCTGTGATTACTATTGTGTGCTTGCACATTGCACGAGGCGATCAACGTATTGTTTGTTTTGTTTAGTCAGGAGATGCTTCAAATCAGGTGTAATCTTTACCCTGAAGTGCTAAGGGTGAGTGGGGAAGAACTGTCTCCAGGCATGGATGAGGATAGGAGTGGCATGGTCCAAGTTGCCATCGAGTCACCTGCAACTGCTTAAATCTCCTTTTGGAGTTGTCAGTATATTTGGTGGAAAGGCTTTTGGGCACCTGCTTGCCATCCGTTTTCTGAAGAGAAATGGGCATTCAGATGTTCTGGGTGGGCTAAAGACTTCCTGAGAGCAGTAATTTCTGTGAGTGAAGCAAGGTTTGTAGGAGGAGGAGGTTAGCACCATAAATGGTCTGTATTGGCTGGTTTAATAAGAGGTATTTTGTTAAACATGTGAGCATGTTAGTCTTACAGAGGACTTTAGTGATTAAAAGCAGGAGCTGCTTTTCAGTGAAGATGAAGGAGCTGATGGGCTCAATTTGCTGCAGCTGTGTTGGGTCTGTGAAATTTGGGTACCCTCAGCACCTCTGAAACTCTAGTCACATAATTAGACTATGAATACTCATTACTTTATGGTCCGTTGCAAAAACACCTTCATACATCCATTAGCAGCTTTTATTCTCCACTCCTGCCACTGCAGATGCATGTGCCTCGCTCCTGTGATTCCTCATGCCTTGAGGAAAGAA